GGATCGCCGACCGCGCCAGCTCCCAGGGCTTTGGCAGCCCAGAGCTTGGCGTTGTCTGGAACAGGCGGGCCCCCCCACCGCACTCAGGAGGGAGGCGCTTCCAGCAGGCTGCCGCCCAGGCCCTCCAGAGACAAAGCCGCGAGGCGCCCGCTGGAGGGTCCAGCAGCGGCGGCAGCTCAGCCGACAGCATCAAGCTGGAGAGCATAAGGAGGAAGCTCGAAGCTGCCAAAGCCGCCGAGGTAGGTGTCCTGGAGGAGGAGGAGAAGCGCATCAAGGAACTGCAGATACAGCTGGCAGAGGCTAAGGAGCGCCGCCGGGCCCGTCGTGCGAGGGACGCCGGCAAGCGCGAGGCAGAGCAAGCGCAAGCCGGGCATCCCCGCCGGGCCAGCTCGGAACCCCCCAGCGGGCAGGGCGCGGCCACCCCTCTCGATCCAGCCTGGGAGGACGAGACCCCGTTGCCCTCGGCCATCCTGGATGGGGAGAACAAGTGCCACGAAGCGGAGTGCATCTTGAATAACCTGCTCGGGGTTCCAGCCGACGATCCCACAGGACCTGATCGGAGGAGGAAAGCACGGGAGCTCCTGATCGAGGGCATCAGCTCCATGTTCGAGGATCTACCGCGGAGCTGGACCGGCACCCCCTACGAAGAGCAAGGCGAGATCGCGAGCGAGTACGTTGACATCCTCGAGAGGCTGACCCGAAAGATGGTGAGAGCAGGGGAGCTGGACGACACCCCCGCGAAGAAGCGCCAGAGAATCGCGTATGAGAAGGCGGAGGAGGAACCCCCGAGCGACGACGCGGACTCCGCCGAGAGCTCGGAAGACGAGGTGGTGGAGAAGCCGTACGCGAGGACCGAGGAGGGAATAGACCCCCCCCTCCCAGAGGATCCAGATCCTCTGAGCCTCTGGCCCGGGCAAGCAGAGGCGGCCAGGCGGAGCAGGGAGGAGACTTTCCAGAGCTCTCCTGGGGCCAGCGGCAGCGGAGGCCCCGCCCCCGCCGCAGGCGCAGAGCCACCGCCGAGCGCACCTCCGCCGCCCGAGGTACTGGAAACCCCCTCAGACCCAGCCCAGCATCGGAGGAGCAGACTCCCCGCCACGATCCCCCAGAAGGCCGCGCCAACGAGGCGAAGCCGCTCGGCAATGACAGTCGTGGAAGCAGCCAGGCGGGCCGCAGGCAGGTCGACAACCTCCAGCGGAGACCCCCCTACTGGGAGGAGCAGACGCCGGCAGCGCAGGGACGTCCGGAGAGAAGCTCACACTCAGGCCCAAGCCGAGATCGCTGGGTGCCCAGCTGCGCGCCACCTCCAAGGGAGAGCCATCGCAGCCCAGACCCCGCCAAGATGATCCAGCAAGGCCGCTCGTGCCCCCGGATCACGCAGTCAGGCCCCTGGTGAGGCCTCCGGGGTGGCGCCCGCTCCTCCCGGGCAAATCTGCAGGCCGCCGGGCATGCCGCCGATGATGCCGCCCCCTTGGCCGCCCCCTCCGCGGGGAGGCCGCTGTGGGGGACCCCCTTTGGGGGAGGCGCCGGCGGCGCCGAGCGGTGGGAGGGCACAGGAGGAGGCGCGTGCCTACGTCAAGTGGTGCGCGGACCACCCCACCTTCCAGCCCGAGAAGGTGCCAGAGGTCGTGAAGCGGGGCAACTCACTCCTCCGTCTCGCCGGCAGCATCGAGAGGGCTGCCGAGTTGCTGAAGCACGCGCGGGAGGAGGTCCATGGGAACCCGCTGGGCGGAGTACTCCAGGAAGACGTGCAGAAGTCCTTGGACCCGCGCCACGCCGCCTACCTCCGGGCCATGGCCACCGGGGGGGTACCCGCGCGACGCACGGAGGAGCGGACGCGCACGCAGGCCAGGTCGCACTCCTCGGCGGTGGACCACGCGCTGGAGATGTTCGAGAAGGCCTGGAAGGACAGCCGCTACGGCGTTGTCCTCTGGGCCTCGGACGAGGTCGAGGACGTGCTCGCCGCCTCGGCGCTGGTCGAGTCGCCCAGCGGGAGGGTGCCCAAGATGTTGCCGGATCGGACCATCTCGAAAGAGGGCCGGCCGATCCACGACATGCGGGCGGCCAACGCCTTCTCCCCGAAGGAGCAGCACCCGCCAGCGAAGCAGCCCCTCCACAGGGGGCTTGCGAGGCTCAGCCTCTGGTGGGAGGCGAGGCACCCGGGCGCCCAGCAGGTGGTGGCGAAGCGCGACGTGGCCAGGGCCTTCAAGTGGCACCACCTGGAGCCAGCTGCCGTGCCAGAGTTCGGGACGACGCTCCCGGGCAAGGAGGTCGGGGTGCCAGGGCGAGTTATCCTGATCCACGGCGTGCTGGTCTTCGGCTGGGCCGGCAGCCCGGGCGAGTACATGGCGTTCGCCTGGGCGGCCAAGAGCGAGCACGAGAGGAGGAAGCCGCCGGCGCCCAGGATCAACGATACCGTCAGGTACGCCTCCAAGTGGCTCATGGACGACGGGGTCGTCCTCGAGCCGCTGGTGGGCCTCCGACCCTGGCTCTCGGCCGAGGAGCTCGACGGGGCCATGAAGCGAGTCTGGGGCCCGGACGCAGTTAACGAGGAGAAACTGGACGTCGAGGGGGAGTTCGCGGCAGAGCAGTTGATCTGGGGCCTCCACATGAACTTCGACACGAAGGTGGTTAGGCTCCCAGAACCCAAATGCATCAAGGCTCAGTACCTGCTCGCCCTCCCGGAGCTCAGAGGATCCAGGCGGGTCCCGCTGAAGGTCGCCCAAGAGCTGCGAGGCTGTGCCCAGTTCTGGGCGTCAGCACAGCCGGCCCTCCGCCCCGAGCTCCCCGCCCTGGACCGGCTCCTCAGCAGCGGGACGAGCTGGGCAGAGCCGAAGGGTACGCCTGAGGAAGTCGAGCTCGCCTGGGAGGAGTGGGACGCGTCGGTGGGGTTTCTGAGGATGCTCTTCGACGTCCCTGAGGCCTGGAGCACGACCTTCCAGGCCAGCTTCACGCAGGCCCTGTCGGTGCGCGAACGCCTCGCCTTGCCGGGAACAGCACGTACCACGCGGTGGACGGGCGGAGATGCTACCACCTCCTCGATCGGTGCCATCGACTGGGGGAGCGCAACTGCAGGGGATGCCGCGCCGACGCCGGAGTACATGGCCGCGGACGCCGGACCACTGCTCGAGGCCCTGAGTCACGCGGTCGGAGGCGAGAGCGGCGAGGAGGGCTGGATCATAGCGGTGGTCGAGCTGCTGGCGGTGGTCGCGTTGGCCACGAAGCAGGGCTCGAAGTGGGAAGGCGAGTTGGTGTTTTACGTCACGGACACTCAGAATGTGAAGGCCTGGCTCACCAAGAGAAGCCCCAAGAACGCCCTGGCCCGCCACCTGATTCGTCTGGTGGAAAGGATCGAAGCCATGCACGGGTGCCGCATCGTCTCGTTCTTCGTGAGGACCTACCACAATGAGGTGGCCGACTGGCTTGCCCGCGAAGAGGTCAAGAAGGTTCACGACACGCTGGCCACCTCAGGGTGGAAGCGCCTAGAGCCTCCCGCAGCCTGGGGCCAGATACTGGAAGACGCCAAGGAGCGCCTTCTCAGACTCCCTGGGGAAACGGGCCCCGTGGCCGAGGCTGCCCTTCGACACCGAGCGCTTCAGCGAGGACATGGGCTGCCGAGAGCTCTCCCGCTCCGCGGTGGAGAAGTGGGGAGTCTCATCAACCCGTACACGAAGGCCTTCAAGCGCCTCGGGGGATCGGAGCCCGAGGAGAACCAGAAGGCGGGATGGCTCATGGCGTCGCTGTCCCTAGACCCCAAGGGCCGAGAGATGGAGGCTTTCCTCGTTGCAGCAACTCAGGAGAGCCCCGAAGTGGTGGTCGTGGACGCCCCGACCGGGGTAGACACAGCCAGGTTCGAGAAGGCACTCAAGCAGCTGGGCTACATGGTCTCGAAGTTCGAGGTGGTCTGCACGCACCACGGGGACGCCGCGACGCGGACCAGGCGGGTGCTCGTGGGCGGACGTCGGAAAGCGGGAGCGGGCCTGGCGTGCATTAACATGCCGCCGGCCTGCTCCCGAGCTGCCAGCGTCAAGCCTCTCCTGGACAAGGGAAAAGACCACCTGTGGCTCGACCAACAGGGCGAAGTGTCATGGGACCCCCGCATCCAATCCACCAGCGACCCCCTCCTCCTCAAGCCGGTCGGGCACCTCAAGAAGGATGGAGCAAAGCACCCGATCTACAGCGAGGAGGGGCCGGTGGGCACCATCCGCTGGCCTGGGGCGGAGCTCCAAGGACCCGGGGCGACGCTCCTCCGTGTCACCGGAGGGGGCGGGGGCACGGTCCGCGCCCTGACACCCCAAGAGGTTTGGCGAGTGCAGGGAGGGGCCAACGACGAGTGGACCCACCTGCGAGCCCAGGGCTCCACCGAGGACGAACTCCTGAAAGGCGCAGCCAGGGCGCTCCCGCCGAGGACCGCGGAGGCAGCGCTGACCGCGGTGACGGAGGCGCTCGACAACAACAGCACGCAGCGGGCCGGGGTGTGCCAGGATCCAGAGGAGCAGGCTGCGTGGGAGGCCACCAAGCGCTGGTTCCGCGCCTGGGCCCAGGCACCGGATCAGCCCGCCCTGGCGCTGGCAGCAGAAGACGAGGCAAGGGCCGGGGGAGCGCTCACCGACGAGATGCACAAGAACCGCCGGCGTGCCCAGGCAGTCCGCTTCAAGATGATCGACGAGGACACGCTCATCGGACCCCGCGAGGCCCCAGCCGCCGAGAAGGTCAAGCTAGACAAAAGTGTAACCCGCTCGAAGAGCCCTCGCAAAAAGAGCCCTCGGCGTGCCAAAGAGATGCCAGCAACCAACCTGGTAAGGCCGCAAGCGCTGGGCGTAGCTCGGAACACCAGCTACCCCGGGAAGGAGCTCGCCCCCGCCGGCCGCGCCGAGCCTGGCGGAGCCAACTACGCCGGCTGGTTCGCGCAGCAGAAGATGGAGGCCATGCTGCAGAAACTCAGCGAAGGCACAAGGGCAGGTTACGAGGGAGGATGGCGGCTCTGGGTGGCCGTGCGCCAG